CAATTTTATTATTTAAGGTCTTGTTTTTCATGACGTGTTCCAATCCTGTATGTATTTTGAACATCGTTAGTGTCCAGTTTCATATTCGATTTGGATTTTATTATGCCCAGTACCTTATTCAGCAGATTTTCATAATTTTCTTCAGCCACCCCGTATACACATATATTGTTTACTTTTGTTCGTTGACAAATATTATCCATTTTTTTGCTAAAAACTATCTACTTTCTGTTCTAATTTATTAATCCTTTCTTTAGGAGTTTTTACCTCCTTTTCATTTTTTTTATTCTCTCAGCTATCTTTTCTACTAGTCGACTGATGAATTATTTGACAGGCTTTGATAGATTCCATGACAATAGCCATTATTTCTTGTTTGTTTCTAGTATTCATTTCACCTGATATAGATTAGGCACCTTTTTCCACTTGCGTAAAAGCCACAGGCAATACATGAAAGAACATTGTATAAATCACAAAAAAAGAAGTTAACAGCATGGTGGCAAATAAATGAAGAAACTCACAAAGACTGAGCTTGTGCTTGAGACTGATAATACAGTTAATACTGAGAAAAATAAATTGTTTTGAGATGGTGTAAACCAATAATATTTTCAAGATATTTTAATTTAAAGACCAAGTAACGAAGTTTTGAGATTGCTTATATGCGCCTTGCAGTCTATATTACAGTCGAAGATGATACCTAGATATTTCACTGTATAGGGAATGCTTCAACTGTACAGTTGTATCAATTTCGATTGTGTCAAAGATCGAGTAATCCGGCAGGTTGTACTTGTATCTGGCGAAGGCTACAAAAACAGTTTTCTCAAGTTGAACTGTGAGTAGGTTGCTATTGAAGAAGTCCATTTCAACGGAAAAAGCATTCTCAATTTTTTGTCTGAAGTTATCCAGTTTGTATTTTTGAAAGATATTTAGTATCAGCAGCAAAACTCAACGGGTATTAGTAATTCAAATAGCGAATTAACATAAATATTAAACACATAGTTCCAAGAACTGTTCCTTGCGGTTCACCGTACTTGACTATACTCTATCACTTATTTTATCACTAATCTGTTCTTGCCCAAAACCTTATATTGGTCAAACGAGGAGAACCTTTTCCCAAAGAATATAAAAACATACGAGTAGTTTTTCAAATGTGAAAACCAATTTCACTATTGCGAACGCACCATTTTTTAGCAGAGGGCCATGAGTTGAACCACGACTATAGAGTATTACATTTGGAAGATAATATTCTGAAAATCAATCTTTTGTAATGTAATGGACCAAATGGAATTTGGTCCACTACATTACATGCCCATTGAGTGTTAAAAATTCCAATCCTAGTGTTCAAAATTTCAATTAGTTCATACCTAAATTCAAGTGAAATTATCAGCAATTAGGTAGATAGAGTATCATAGGATTCAAATTGTTATATTATATAAAACATTAATTATGTAGAATTTGATTAATGTATGTAACGCCTGAGGAAGCTTTTGTATAGTGAAACACGTGTTGTGGTTTTGTAAGCTGTTCGGTAGAAATCTCAATAAAGTCCTACTTGTTTTAAGATACGAAATCTTCCTTAATGCATGTTTGAGTTTTGATATACTGTAGCTTCTAAATGTTTACAGCTCCTGTGTAAAATGGTTAATGAAAGGAACTGACTCATTTGGGAATGATATAATCCATATCACTTTTTTGTGGAATAAATACTGATTTTACGTTCGGTAATACTCTACAATAGATAGAATCATATGAAAGATGTAACATTGAAGTAACATCAAATACAGTTTTTGAAATGTTCCAATCAACACCTGTAAAGGAAGGTATAGGTAGTTGCAGGTCGCAAATAAGATGACTTTGATATGCTTTTTTCATAGCAAATAATGATCAAGACGGAAACTAAGCTATTTTGTTATATTTTCTGAAGTGTAACTATATAATGTTGCTATTACAATAACAAAAACACTAACAATAATCTAAAATCTTTGCAAAATCACGAGAAGTTTGATCGCGACGGTTATTGCGATTGATTCATAAATATGTGTATTTCGTGTTAATTAAGTATTTTTGAGATTTTATTCAGCAGATGTACTTTCTTCAACAAAAAAAACTCATGAACCCTTTTCAGTAACTTCGGGAAATCTCCTTGCCTGAACTATTAAAATAATTTCAAACTTCATGGGTTGTACTGTGCGACGAATATAAAATGAGTTGTTTTCCAGTTTTCAGAAAATATATTTCGTTTAATTTTTTTCGTCAACAACTTGAACCACTTTTAACCAATAATTCATTGAATCTTCGCCAGAACGAGTTCTATTCCAGTTTTCTGTTAACAATTTCTTACTTTCTTATGATTCGTTTTCAGAAGTTCTCATTCAAGTTCTACGGCGTGAACTGTGCTTTTGGAGAGACGTCAAGTTTTCCACTCTGTAGGGAATTCAATCAATATCAAATGCGCTTTCGTCCTTGACACAACATAGTGTGTACATCGATATTTCGATTCCGACGTTATCTGGAGTGAAACAAAGGTCATAGGACCATCAGTTGGTCAGTGATTTATATCTTGAAACCAATCGAAATAGTATTATCAAAAATATTCGAAATCACTATTTCTTTTCTTTTTGTAAAAAAAATCTTTGTGTTAGAATATGATTCTTTTTTTCCCTTTTCCCTTCAATTCGGAATTCCCTTTTCTTTACAAGGGAATTCCGAATTGAAATAGGTATATATTTGGGAGGGGTGAGTTTTTGAGAAAAAAGCTTTTTCGATTTCACTTTTCCATCTCTATAAAAAAAATGTGAAAAACTTTCAAAGGAAGAAAGAAATCAATTGAAATCAGAATTACCTCTTTATAAAGATATGTACATAGAAGTTACTTTCAGATACAAATACAAAACACATATTTTTCACATTCAAGATGTTTTGGAATGTACACACATCAATTTCTGTAACATCATTCAAATTTGTTAAACGACCTATATTTTTCTGGTAGCACATCAAAAGTTGGTGAACGAGATCAGATGATCTTGCAGGCCATTTAAACATGCTACCTTGCAGAAATGCTACACTATTCTCTCTTGAGAGGAGTTCTAATGTATGAGAGCAGTATATTGTATCAGATTCATCATATGACGGAGATTTCAGTACTACCATTCAATATGTCATTTTTTGTTTGGTGAGTTTTCATTTACCTTACAGGGTAAGATTGAAAAATGGTTATATTATTTCACTTTCTAAGGTTAATATCGCAAGTACTATATTCGAAAATGAGTTGATAACAACATCATCATCTGTTTCCAAATATTTGTAATCTGTTTAACCGTTTAGATCTATTAATAATAAAAAAAATGTTTTTTTCAATAAATCACGCGCAATATTCTGAATATTTTCGAAGAAAAACAAAACCGCGCTTTGTAACTGAATACGGAAATCCTAAAAGTATCGCCGTAGGAAAAACCCATCTCAGAAAAAATAAAAATTTAAAAAAAAGTCGAGATGAAATTAAATTAATTTGAAAAAATCACTTGGTTGATCGCAAATCATAACAAACATAACATAAAATGATAAACATCTTCCAGTTTGAAGAACCTAAGTAAATTGTACTTTGATAAAATGGCCGTCAATAACTGTCAGAATTCATTCAATTTATTTATTCCATTTTAGGTGGTAATAAATACTTGACAATCATAATTCTCTCATTGAAATAATCTCCCTTAGATTGAAAATATATTCCCTATTTTCGCAGCAACTTTTGTTAATTATGAACTATATTTTCATTTTTTCTACAACAAATCCCGATTAAGTGAAGTATATGAAATAACATTATCAACTCCAGCGAAAACTCAACTTTCTCTTCATAAGACTCAAACATATCATTGAAATATAAATTAAAAGGGTCCCAAGACAGTACCTTGAGTTATATCGTAATGAAATACTTCATTTTGACTATCCGAGTCCTTTTATTTGGATAGCTCTTCAGTAACGAGAACCTAAATCATATTTTCATATGATATATTTCACACTGTAATGAAAGTAATACGTATATCGAGAAATATACAGGCTGTAATTATTTTTTCATCTGAAGAATCATAAATATCCATGGGTAGACGACAGAGGTCATCTTGTTCGAAAATCCTTTTCTAATACCAAACTGATTCGATCCTAAAATTTTCGTAACATTGTAGTTCCTCCATTTCGGAGTACGAATACGATACATAAATATTCAAATGATGTAAAATTACCCAATTGATTTTGATAATACATATTCACATTATTTGACATCGCATATTTTATTCTTACAATTTTTTTTATTTATTTCCAAAGTATTGATAATGATTAACTTTTATTTTGTATTCCATTTTAATAGAATTCATTTTCGAAAGAAATTCTGTCTTCACTTGGTTCAAGTGTTATGTTATTTTCATTTGTTTTTATTGTGATCACTGATATTAATCAACTATCATGCATTTTTGTTGTCATATTTCACCAATTAGTTTCATGTTATAAGTATGTTCGTTTTCATGTTTTAATTTATTTCCAAATATATTATTTACTTAAAAATGAACTGATTCCTTTCCTAACTGAACGGAAACGTGTTTTCAATAGAACGCACTATGGAAGACTCGCGATACAGGAGTTACCCGTCAAATTTCGCACACGCCGTAGAAATTCAAACAGTAAGACCGTGGTATGAGCAGTGAGTCTTGATGAAACGATGATGCCAACGGCGACAGTAAATCACCCCATGCGAAAAAGAAATTTCCGTCTCAGATTGGTGTACCTACCGTTATAAGCTAACGCACCACTACAGGACAGGGGCGGGGAGAACATGACCAAGTTGGGGTAGAGGGAGCAAGAAGCGCGACGGCATACAAGCGCAGCACGAGGGTTCACAGGGACGCGCGCAGAACCACCTGGCGTCGTGCGTTCCCCCATTCAATTCAGTATCGACCGGCTGGCGGGTTAGAATTTCACAAGAATACAAATCGAAATTTGAGGCCGATGACAAAGTCGGGTCAACCACGGGGTTGTCAATCGAAATGAACACGCGACTCCTCTAGTTCGAGACGACAATGATTGTGCTCGTCCACGGGGATGTTCTCGTTTTGGGTTTTCGGCCGCTGCGACGTCGGTCGACGCCGTCGTAAACACAGTGACATTTCCAGTATTTTCCGGATCGGTTTCCAGTTCGGGGTATCTTGAGTGTTGGTGTCAGTGGTTCGCGTTACTGTCTGAACAGAGTCGACCGTTATGAGTGCCCTAACTCCTCTGCCGGATTCTGACGACTCTGCACAGAGTTCGTCATGATGGAAAATATTGGAAAAATGATCGAACAGCAGCAGCAGGCACTAGGTGAGCAAACGATCGATTCTCCAGACAGCAGTGCGCACGCGTTGATGCATGCCGGTGGCATGGAGACTCAGGTCGTCCGTATGAGGCTCGTATCACGCGCTGTTGTTGAAAGGCGTCTCGTTAAACAAGAAGAGGCTGATGGCCCATTATCCGTCATTGTACAACCCCAAGAAGAGTCAAGGGACTCGGAGCTACTCAGTCCCGGAAAATTATCACCCAACTCGGTGACTGTGGCAAACATGATAGATAACAATGACTACCGCACCTTGAATCCTGAACCTACCTACCAAACTCTGACTTCGGTAAACGGCAGAATGTCTCCTCCAGGCTACAGCCCGAGTTCTTCTTATGCCACCCTGACTCCGCTGCAACCCTTACCACCCATATCAACCATGTCAGACAAGTTTGCTTACGGACACGCAAGCAACGTGACTGGTTCCTTCACGGTCATGCAGAACAACAGCATAGGTGGAATCAACCTGGGACTTGGAGTAGGTGTCAGTGCTAGCACCCCTTATACCATGACCAACATGGGAATGACTCCTCCGCACAACTACTCCTCTCCAGGAATGGGAATGCAGCAGCAGTCAAGCCCTATAAGTCCGCAGAGTACGTATAGTCAAAACGGTTTAACGTCGCCCCAGAAAAGTATGTCTCCCCCCAGTTATGACTCGCCATATGGCAATCAAAGAGACATGGTGCCCCGGTTACACAGTCCCCAACTCAGTCCACCATCCGCATCCCTAAACTCTCCTGATGGCACACTCGTTACCAGTTTTAGTTCAACCAATTTAAACGGACTTGGTCTTCAGAATCACCCACCGACCTTAGTGCAAATCGCACCGCCTCAAAGAGACTGTTCCCCTTCGCCTCCCGTCGTTACCCTCCAAGCAGCGCCTGTGGTGTCGCAGCACCAGCAGCAACAGCAGCAGCAGACGATGCAAATATCGACAAAGAATTCCAGCCCCAGTTCTCTAAACGTTCCTGCCATCGCCGCCGATGTCGAAGAAATCAACACCAAAGAACTAGCCCAGAGGATAAGTGCTGAGCTGAAGAGGTACAGCATACCCCAGGCTATATTTGCCCAACGGGTGTTGTGTCGATCTCAAGGTACTCTTTCAGACCTTCTACGGAATCCGAAACCTTGGTCGAAGTTGAAATCGGGTCGAGAGACGTTTAGGAGGATGTGGAAGTGGCTTCAAGAACCGGAGTTCCAGAGGATGTCGGCTCTTAGACTTGCAGGTCTGTATGTCTGTATCTCCTATTCATTATTCGTCTTGAAACAAAGATATGACTTATATCACTGAAGTAGCCACGCGAATGGTATGTCAAACTAAAATGAAATGTTCAATACTTTCTATTTTTGAAGATTAAAATACTTTCAGCAATGCAGCACATGGATCTAAATTTGTTTGTTCACAAATGTAGTTTCTCAAATTGACGATGTAAGCTGAGTTTTTGTCTTTATTAAAGAACAAGTCACTTCCACATTTCGTAAAGTATAATGATAAGATATTTGAAAATGTTAACACAAATCTGACAAGCTATAAAGCACTCTCTCATTTGTTAAATGGAAAAATATATCAAGTAATCTTTGAACTTGAACATAAAACTTTACTGAATATGTTCACAACTGTTTCAGCTTTTGGTTTGTGGAACATATTTCATCAACATAATTTCGAATTCATTAATTATGCATCTGATATTGATATTGTCCAGAATTCTGGCGTATATTCTACAAACAAATTTAATTTTCACCAATTTCTGAAGAATACCCAGTCAGATAGCGTAATGAAGATGCTAACACTATCTGAAACGCCATGAAGGACTGGGGAATGCATTCCTTTCAGTTCTCAGAAATAATGACAGACTAGAACCCAAACTTTCTATATCTCCATCTTCAAATGAGAAAACGCTGGAAATTTTCTAAAAACGGAAGAAAAAAAACAACTTAAAAAATCTCTTTGTGTAGATAACGCATAAGATTTTTTTTTCAGATACAAACAATAAGGTTCCTTATTCCAGATACAAACTGGAATAAGAAACCTTTCGAAACAACTACTTTCACATGAAGCGTGAACATTGAGTAACAGAAAAATTACTTCTTCCTATTTAGTTTCCACTCCAAACATTGATTATGAAATTAAAACAGTACCGCTATACAAAGTAATTATGAAAGGATACTGATATAAAATTTCACTCTCATGGAACACTATCATTCTTAATGATGTACTTCTTGAAGTTTCTGGTTTCTTTAACTCTTCAACAGTAACTTTCTCAGCCTGTAAAGACAAAAACACGTATTTCACACTCAAGATTACGACTTTATGTCTCCCAAAAAACAATTATGCCCTTGTCACGATGACGGTTCGTGAGAGCAATTCAATCCCAGTCAAATGAAGTTCGTTTAATTTGAAAAAGGGAACATTCATTAGGAGAGATTAGTCTCAAAAAACATTTTGGATTTCAACTTCCTCATCTTCAACAAAAATGTGAAAAACTTTCTGAGGAAGAAAGAGAGAAATTAGCTTCAAAATAAAAGTAAAATTTTTGTACAATTTTACAGATCACGAACAAAAGTATTTTTCAGATACAAACTGGAAGGAAAAATCCTTTCGAAACAAATATTCTCATATGAACATCGAATTACTCAAAAATCATTTTTTTCCCTTCAGGTTGTGCTTCAAACATTTGTTATGGAATTTATATAGTGTAATTCAATTTTCATTTATCCATGATGGTAATTGAAATTTTCACACTACATTTTCATTTATTTTCAGAGTTACTTTGATTTCTGTTCGAATCGGATATTTGTGAAGGTTACAAGATGTAATGACATAATGAGATTAAATGAAATGAATAAAAATATTTAGATCAAACACAAGATTATTTTCATCATCAATATTAGGACTGATAACTATACAAATAGTAGGTGCACTGTTCGTTAAATCAAAGGAGATATTTCTCATATCTCTCATGGGTCAAATTGAAAATGAAAATGACCAACGAAAAACTAGAAGACAGAAAATTTCTATATGAATCTAAAACTTAATGCAGAATCATTCCAAAAATTTTCGAAAAAAATCAATCAATGATTTCAGAACTTGTCTTTCAGGATGATAGGATATTAATACAATATATTAAACGTAGATTTTGATTTCAGGTGAAATTATCAACACAGAAGAAGGTTATTTTAACGTGGTAGTTGGGAATTCAGTGGGATGGAATCAAGCCTCAACATCTGGATATGAGAACATGGAACAAGAGAAATGTAAGCCAGGGCAATTATTAAAGGGAAGGGAAAATAAAAATGAATAAATAAATGAATAAATATTTTCTCAACCGCTGATGCTTGCAGTTTCTCAGTCCTTCGTGAAAATGAATATATTCATTGACTTAGATCACGAGGTGTTTATATAAATATGCTATTCCAGTACTGTTTTCCCAATACCCGTAATCATTCAATAATTTTTATTAATACTTAATTCAAATATAATTTCTAACCTAGTACATATTGCTGCTCGAAACCGAGAATTTCTGAAACTGGTTCTGAAGTCACAAAAATAAATGAAATCAGATATATTGCCCCAATAGAATGCACATTAAATCAAAATGCATTTTCATCAATACCATTTGAAAAGTTCTATGGATACCACGAGCAGTGTATCAGAAAAGTGTCAGCTCCTAGTAGGTACCAAATGGAGGTTTATTTACCTAATAAGATAGAAAAATAGTTTTAGAAATACCGATTAGTAATGAAAAACGAAATATAATATCGAAAAACTGAACGATTTGAGATAAAAACAAAGAACCGTGATGAAATGAATTGAAGTAGTTTTTAAGTATCGTATACTGAAATTGGCAAGTGAACTTTTGATTTTTCGAAACCATTTTTCCACCGTTAAATTAATATCGGTCGAGTGGGTATCATAATCAATTTTTTCTGTATATTTTTCAAAAATTATTTATTCATTTATTTATTTATTTTGTTTCATTCATTTGTTTATTTTGTTTCATCCATTCATTTATTCATTTTGTTTCATTTATCTATGGAAGTTTATTTTTCATTCATTTATCCATTAACGAAATAAAGTTGAGCATTCTATTCCAATTAAAATTTTTGTATGAACGGCACGTTGAAATTAGAATAATTTTTCAACATGTACAAAGGTACACGTACAGACAGTATTTATATCATTGTATATTGATGATGTACAATTCATTCCTTAGATATAAACACGGTCACTAGGAATACTCGTAAGGACCAATAAGTCCAACTGATGAAGCTAACGTGTAGCGAAACGAGTCTTAAAAGGAAATGTATTTTATGAAAAAATTTATATTGTGAAAATTGTATGATTATTATGGATAGTATTAGGAATGGCTACAAAACATAACTTTGAATTCACCCTGAAATCTTTCGAATAATACTAAATATCTATGAACGATGACCAAAACATTTTACCTCTGGTCAACCACGTGAAATGAAAATTGAACGTAGGGGAGTATACATTTGTTTATGAGTTATTTTCATATCCACTTTTTTCTGCTTGAATATTAGTACAACCCTTGTACCCTGTACCCCCGAGACATATTTTTTTCAATTTAAATGAAATTCGTATGGCTGGTATTGAACCATCTTACCGTATGTATGTTTTAACGAATTGCCATCGTGACAAGAGCAGAACTGCCTTTTTCAGCTTCAAAGGTTCAAAAGGTGCTGATGAGGAATTGAAGACGAGTGCGTCCAATCCGAACTTCGAAAAGTACACCATTAACGATGATGATTTTTGATGCACTGTTTGGAACCTTTGGTGTAGTAATGAATATTACTGAAGTTTTTTCCCCAGTAATATTCAACGATGATAATATTTCAGTACCCTTTCATATATCACGTTGTATGGCGTTCCTATGTATACCTGATTTAATCCCATACCTATGACTATAAAAATTTTAAAAAATCGTTCATTTGAAGTTATACCGTAAATCTGTTCTTTCAGAGAACATAACTAGTTTTGAGGTAATGTTGACGGGTTATAACTCATTTTTTATCAGGAGCTATTTCAAACCATACTCCATTGAACTTTCGTGATTCGCAAACGTAAGTAAAAGTACACTTCGATGTATAATGAAATGAAAATTGAATGAATAATGACAATAAGTTCATCAAAATAAAAAAAATTGAAGTTCTGAAGAATTACCAAATTTGCCGGCAAAGGAAATGTAGAAGAGATTTTTCAATTTGAAAACATATCTATATAGAGAATGCAATATAACGTTTATTATCGAACAAAATAAAGTAGTTTTTACTATGTATGATTATCAATAATAATTCATTTCAAAATACCGTTTCCAATTCTTGCAGTCCAGTTGCAAAAATACNTCATTCATTTGTTTATTTTGTTTCATCCATTCATTTATTCATTTTGTTTCATTTATCTATGGAAGTTTATTTTTCATTCATTTATCCATTAACGAAATAAAGTTGAGCATTCTATTCCAATTAAAATTTTTGTATGAACGGCACGTTGAAATTAGAATAATTTTTCAACATGTACAAAGGTACACGTACAGACAGTATTTATATCATTGTATATTGATGATGTACAATTCATTCCTTAGATATAAACACGGTCACTAGGAATACTCGTAAGGACCAATAAGTCCAACTGATGAAGCTAACGTGTAGCGAAACGAGTCTTAAAAGGAAATGTATTTTATGAAAAAATTTATATTGTGAAAATTGTATGATTATTATGGATAGTATTAGGAATGGCTACAAAACATAACTTTGAATTCACCCTGAAATCTTTCGAATAATACTAAATATCTATGAACGATGACCAAAACATTTTACCTCTGGTCAACCACGTGAAATGAAAATTGAACGTAGGGGAGTATACATTTGTTTATGAGTTATTTTCATATCCACTTTTTTCTGCTTGAATATTAGTACAACCCTTGTACCCTGTACCCCCGAGACATATAGTAAGCTATTTATTTCATATGGCTAATCTTCTGTCAATTGAAAATATACAGGTGAGTAATGCAGGGAAGTAGTGCATTATATTGTGATGAAAAAAAGTCACTTTTGAGAAACCACACAGAAGAGAAATATCAGCCAAATCTTCTCTGGATCTGGTCATAGGAACTGTCGAAAATAAAAATTGCTACCAGTTGAATTTTGATTTTTGGAATAGCTACATTATAAAATAATTCTGAATGGATACCGTTTTTTAGCA